CCTCATTTCTCCACTATACCCATGGTCCGTAGAACCTCATGGCAGCTAAATAAGAAATCCTGAGCATCCTCTGAGGAAGTGCCGCTGTATGTGGTAATGAAGAGCTTGGTGAATCGATCTAGTCTCCACAGAGCATCGGAGGACATCGCCGCACCATCGCCGGTCTGAGCCGCAATACCCGGCTGCACTGCCACAGTTGGCTGAACCACTGGAATCTGAGCCTGAGGAGCCACCTGCTCCGGAGTACGTGTAGCGGGAGTCTGAACTCCTCCCCCAGCCTGAGATGTGGCTGGTGCTACTGGAAGCAAACCCGCTCGAGAGACGCTCTCTATAAAGACTACCAGTCGGACCAAAGCGTCCTGAAGCACTGGAGTGGCTATGAAACCCTCTGGGACCTGAGCTGGGCCCACCGGAGCCGCTGGAGCTGGAACCTCCTCGTCATAATCAATTTGAGTCTCCACCTCTGGGGCTGCTGCTCGGGGCTGAGCTCTGCCCCTCCCTCGGCCTCTGCCCCTAATAGGAGCTGCTGCTGGGGGCTCAGGCTGCTGCGCAGTAGAAGAGGGAGCACGTGTTCTCGCCATCTCCGAAAGAATAGAGTAGAACGACAATCAGTATTTGAGAACAGAATCGCACGACAAGAAAGAACAAAGTGAAATTTTCCTAACTCTATAGCCTCTGGGGATAAATATAGACGTCCCCGTACCGATCCCTCAGACTCTACCGAGCTTGTCCGTGAGTTGTGAGACCTAAGTAACCTAGTGCTCTGATACCAACTTGTCACGATCCGGATTTTCCACCATCGGGGATCATGATGGCGCCTACTATCGGAGCTAGGCAAGCCAAACGTTTAAAATATTTTCTGATAACATCTCAACAATATAAAATAAATGAGACAATTTAAAACAAAGCGGAAGTCTTAAGCTTAGATAACCGAAAACAAATGCGGAAGTTTTAAAATACATTTCTACCCAGAGTCTGGTGTCACTAGCTCACGAACTACTATAGAGTACTAAAACAAAAGTCTGAATGAAATACATCAATGTTTGTCTCGATACAAATAAAACAAACTAATAACAGAGAAAGGGACTCCGGCCTGCGGACGTCAGCTAGGCTACCTCGCAAGTCCCTGGACTGAAGACAACTCCCGATCAATACTGCTGCTGTGATCCAAAAGCTGCTTCGGGATCTGTGCAAAAAGATGCACAGAGTGTAGCATCAGCACAACCGACCCCATGTGCTGGTAAGTGCCTGGCCTAACCCCGGCGAAGTAGTGACGAGGCTAGACAGGACCTACCAAAAATAACCTGTGCAGATATATATGCAATAGCAGGGAATATACAGAATTTAAACAGCTAAGAGCGAGGGGAGCATGCTATGGGGGTGTAACAATTTAGATATAGAATTAACAAATAATGAAATGGATCTGAACAATAACATACATTAAGGAGAACAGGTAAATCAACAACTGCACGGCACCAACCTTCGTGCTTTTACTCTCGTTCACACCAAAACAGTCAAATAAAGTGCACGACATCAACCTTCGTGCTTTTACTCTCGTTCTCACCAAAACAGTCAAATAAAGTGCACGGCATCAACCTTCATGCTTTTCCTCACATGCTCTCCTATCAAGGCACGGAATGACCCTTCGTGCATAATTATTCAAAACATGGCACGGAATGACCCTTCGTGCATAAATATCAAAACATGGCACGGAATGACCCTTCGTGCATAATTATTCAAAACATGGCACGGAATGACCCTTCGTGCATAAATATCAAAATATGGCACGGAATGACCCTTCGTGCATAACCACTGTTCCTCACCAAATCAACAGCCACAACCAATCAGGGTGAGGGGAATAAACAAACAGTATTAAACGTCCCGGCAAGGGAGAACAAAATAACAGATAAGTCCCAGCAAGGGTACAACTAACAGCTCAAATATCCCGGCAAGGGAGAATACATATAATACTTAAATCCCAGCAAGGGAGCAACAACAATAATAAACTACACGTCCCGACAAGGGAACAATTACAACACTTTCTCTTTTGATCACTTATTTCTCAATTATCATATTCTCATTCGAGCCAACGCTCTAATAATGTACCAATCATAATTCTTCCTCAAACCTTTCACATTATATGAAACTTATCAATTAAACAAGGAAGAGGTATCACAAAATCTGAATAAACGCAATTAAGACTCACAGTCATGCTAGACTCCGGTGCATAGATACTCGTCACCATGCCTATACACCGTACTCCACATTTAGCAATTAGCAAATAATATCCTAATCCTATTCCCTCAACCAAAGCTAGAACAAACACTTACATCGATGCCTTGAATTCAACTCAAGCCTCAACTATGGCTTTACCCCTCGATTCCACCATAAAACCGCTCGACTCTAGTCACAAATTACTTAAATACATCAACAAATGCTAAATGAATCAATTTGAATGCATAAAAATGAATTTCCCAAAGTTTTGCCCAAAAAGTCCAAAAATGCCCCCGGGCCCACGTGGTCAAAACCCGAGGTTCGAACCAAAACTCGATTACCCATTCCCCACGAACTCAAATATATAATTTGTTTTGAAATCAGACCTCAAATTGAGGTCCAAATCCCCAATTTTTGAAAAACCTAGGTTCTACCCAAAACACCCATTTCCCCCCTTGAAAATCTTTGATTTTAAGTTGAAATCATGTTAAAAGATGATAAGAATTGAAGAAAGTTTGTGAAAAACGACTTACAATTGATTTGGAGACGAAAGGATTCTTGAAAAATCGCCTAAGTGAGTTTGGGTTTGAGAAAATATGAAAAGAATGGTTGCTGCCCGAGTTGATTCTGTGATTTTTTTTATTTATGAAGAAACAGCGTGGAGCACCAGTGCTCCACATTCTGTTATGACAGCAAAATTTCTGCAACATTTTCCTAAGTTTAAAACACCCCGAACCCCCTCTGAATCACTCCCAAGCCCTCGGGGCTCCTAACCAAACACACACACTAACTCAATAACATCCTACGAACTTACTCGAGCGATCAAATCGCCAAAATAACATCAAAATCAATGAATCAAGCCTCAAAATCATCATTTTTCATTCTAACTTCATAAACTTCAAACTTTAGATATTTAGGTCCGAAACACGTCAAACGACGTCCGATTTCGACCAAACTTTACAGGAAGCGCTTAACATATATATAAGACTTGTACCGGGCGTCGGAACCAAAATACGAGCCTGATACCATAGTCTTCTGATCAATTTTCATTTCAAAATTCCATATAAATTCCAGAAAAATAATTTCACACAAAAATTCATTTCTCGGGCTAGGGACCTCGGATTTCGATTCCGGGAATACGCCCGAGTCCCATATTTTTCTACGGACCCTCCGGGACCGTCACATCACCGGTCCGGGTTCATTTACCCAAAATGTTGACCAAAGTTAACTTTAACCATTTTAAAGCCATAATTTAGCATATTTCACATATTTTAACACATAAGCTTTTCGGCTACGCGTCCGGACTGCGCACGCAAATTGAGGCAACTAAAAGCGAGGTTTTCAAGGCCTCGGAAGCACGAAAAAAGAGAAAAATCCGGTGATGACCCTTTGGATCGTCACACAAATAATTATCCAAAAGCTCTTCATTTACTTGATTTTGCAAATTAGTCTTAAGCAACTTCGACACAAAAAAAAACATGACAACTAACAACGGGAATCCTAGAAGTTAATATAGTAACAATAGCACGATATAGCTAGTTTTTGGACTGGTCATTCAAAAATAGCCAGCGTTTACCAAGTCAATAAAAAATAGCCACTATTTTGCTGCAACAGAGACCGGTCCAGCAAAATATACTGGAGTTCGGTGCACCTGTGTATGAACTCCAGCATATTATGCTGGAACGATATACTTTGCTGGCTCCAGCATAATATACTGGAATTGGAGCGCCGGTGCTCCAAACTCCAGTATATTATGCTGGACCGGTATACTTGCTGGAACTCCAGTATGCTGGAGTTCTAGTGTACTTATGTTGGAACTCCATCATATTATGCTGGAGTTCCAACATACTTATCCTGGAACTCCAGTGTAATATGCTGGAGTTCAAGTATACTTATGCTGGAACTCCAGCATAATATACTGGCGTATTTTCCGGGTTTTGAACAGTGTTTTCGCTCAGATTTATCTTTACATAAAAAGTGGCTAAATTTCGATTACTTTTGAAACTTGACTATTTTTGAACGACCAATTGTAAATCTGACTATTTTTTAATTTCTCCCGTTAATATAAGAGTAATGTTTTAGTAGATATGGCACAAAATTTTAAAAACACAGCGCATGTTACTGGGTTTGTACCCACGACCTAATAGAAGCAAAAGAGGAGTCACTTGACAAGGCGAGCTGGGGAACTACTTGTTTCAGGCAATGTCATTTCTTTTTTATACTAGTGGGAATTGCCCGTGCTAAGCACGGGCCTAATAGCGCAATTGTTTCTAATAGTATTCAGTAAATGTTCTCCTACTTCATCAATTCTCTAGGAGCCTAAATTGTCTAAGGAAAATGCCATGTTCCTTCGTATGGTTTGGTATCTTATACCAATCTCAAGTGTGAGATAGTGTTTTTTTCGTACTGTATATATGAACTTCAAGTCAACATTATGTATTCAATAGGAAGCGTCACAGCCTGGGTTTGGGCCACCTCCGAGAAATCTTACAATAGGCAGATCACCTCTTTTATTATAGTAGATAGACAATATTTATGGACTACAATAAATGTTTTTAACCAAGCTGACATTGTAAATGCCCATGTAATGTCATGTACCAATTGATACATGTGGTAATTTAATGAAGGATTGGAAATATACATTTTTATTTTACAATAGAAGAATGCTTTATCAATTCTTTGTGCTTGCTAATCTGAAAGTAATCATTTGATATACTGTGGCATCATGAAGTCAACACCAAAAAAGTTTAAATGACTGATAGATTCCCTCGTCATTTTTCACACAGGTAACATCTACTGCAAATAGAAAGTCCTCTTCTCTGCCAATTATCTTGGTTAAGACATGCTGCCTCGATAGCATTTCACACAAAGCAGGGCATTTTGGTGTGTTGTTTTTGTCCTCCGTGTTATCTTCTAAGACCACTTGTTGTCCCATTTACTATCTAGCTTTGGAGAAGATTGTAGCAACTGTGGATGCCCTATACAGTAAATATATCATAATCAGAGTTACTGGTCTATAAACTCCATTACTTTTTCACTTTGTTGAATAATTCTATTAAAGATTTATTTGTCCGCAATCACCTTTGAGGTTGTTGTATAGAGCAAGATTGAGGTTGTCCTACAATGTATATTTGATCACCATGACTTCTTTCATAGTAAATGTCCTGATTAAGGTGGCAAGACCATAATGCATGGATTGAATTTACCATCTGCACATATGAATGGAGAAGAGAAAATGTTAAACAAAAAAAGAAAAAAAAGACAATGGTAATAAAGACGATGAACTAAGTTCAAAGTGGCTGCAAAAGTATGAACTACAGAGAGTAGGGAATTCATCCCTCAATGTCACTGTTTCAATCTAACTATGTGTGCAAAATTTTATCTTCCTTTTAATCCCCATCTTCAACATGATACTGTTGTATCACGTTGTTTAGTTGCGCTGCTAAAACATAAAATTATAGGAAACATGTAAATTTTACATAGCACATCCTTCCTTAGATTTAACAAGAGGTGTATATAAAAGAATAAATAATTTGCCATCAATTAGAGGTAAAGGTTATGCACTAACCATTCATAGAAGATGAGGGTAAACCTAATAATTAGGACAAAGACTTCAGAGAGAAGTGAAAAGATATTTTTAGTAATGTTAAGATAAAATTGGTCATATAGATATGAATTTGAATAGATAAGAGCTTAAAATGACTTGTAAAGAAACAGTAAAATAAAAGTTGTAAATTAAAAACTCATACTTATCGTTGGACAGACACGTCGTGTCCTAATAAAAGTCCTATTGATGCTATTAAGGGAGAGTTAATAACCTCTACTTCACAGTGCTTAAAGACTTTACTGGTTGTACATGAATCTCCTGTGTTTTCTTTCATATTTCACGACTTAAAAAACCAAAGAGGAGAAAAATAAAAGTTAATTCAGTCGCTCTAACCGACGCGCACCATCTATGCATTCCAAATTAACAATGCACCACCAATTAAATTAAATTAAATTAAATCAGTCAGTTAGCTAATAAGTGTTAAATTTTGCTGCAAATATTCAATGTTGCCTTACGGAATGAGAGACGAAAAGCTACACGCAACTAAATACACATTAAAAGTGTACAGTTTCCTACACTTGTATAATATTTTTATGCAACGCGTAAAGTTTACAAATATACATTATTGTACTCAAATAGTTATGCGCACAACGTCCATTCTCATACCCAAGTCATACTCCTTTCAATTTTTTATTCACTGCCTTCTACATCTATATTGGTTGTTCTGCATTTTCAAGAATATATGGCACGATTACATAGTTTGTTAACTGCTAGAAAGGAATTAAAATGATCAACTACTTGTACTTTTGGTATATATAATTGTAGAAAATTTTTGTTAACTTATCATACAGTAAACATCCTATTCATTTGAAAACTTATTCCTACAAAATAGTCAGATTTAAAATAGCAAACAACAAAAACAGAAATATAAAAAGGTAGCTTTCATGAAAGTCATTCAAAATTTTGAGACCTCTTTCAGCAGAGTATCACGAAACTACCAAGTAGTTGATGTAACATCTGTGCAAATATGATTCATGATTCGAGCTATTAGCACAATAATTTAATCCCTTCATCACAGTCAATTCCTATCTTTTCCCTTTATGACTATGTACTACTATTTTTATTGTCACTAATAAAGTGCGGAAAAGAAAAATATAGAATACTCTTCAAATCAAGAAGCAAATTGTAGTTTGATGATTCTTTTTTGGCATGTGCCATTTGACTTACACATAGGGTACACACATATTGACTCTTCTAGTGTATAATTCCACATATAAATGGAATGGAATTACGATTAGTTGCAAAAAGAAGGAAAGAACAAGGGTAAAGAAATAGAATTCAGAATGAACAAGAGAAATAGGGGCCAAACCTTGTAAATAAAGACATGAAAGAGATTTAGATAACCAGGGAGCAAGCATGTGCAAGAACTATCTATCCAACGGAGTAAAAGCAGCAGCACAGGAACTAATCCATTGTACGGCAGTTTCAGTTGAAGACATGCCCCTCCCTTCTCTCTTGAAACTGCAGCAGCTCTGTAAACCACCACATTAGTTCATGACAAAATCAACTCTGAGTAGACAGAAGCAAGAATTAAATCTATCAGTTGCAAAATGATCACCATGTTTAATGTCCAAAACATGAAAGAAACAATGCATAAAAGATTATACTTACTTGATTGAGAATTTCGGGAGGCTCTGTGTATGTGAGCGGAATGACTCTAGTACTAGCCATTTCAGCAGCCTAACATAGGAGGCAGTAATGTAGGAAACATAAACTTTATAAAACTAAGTAAACCACTTAATGCAATAAAGTTTACTAAAACTGGCTCTATTCCCTAATATCCAAAACATTATATTCTTCCTCCTATTCTGTGGACATAACTTGTAGATTTCAACAAAGTTTCCCTGCGAAATCCAGAATGAAAGAGAATTCTCTTTTCGTAGTTTATGAACCTTTCAGTTTCATGTTTAAATCAATTTTGAAGTGTTTGAATTAGTCATCTATTGATTTATCCCTTTCTTACACGAAAGCCCTTACTCAAAATGCAACCAAAGAATGAAATCAGAGAAAAAGGCAGGAGTGTGCATAAGAAATCTAATACAACCTGATATTCATTGAATAATTTTGTCAAACACCTAGAGAACAAAATTTAGAAATACCTAATATATTCTCAACGATTGAAATAAATTATATCAATACAAGAAGCGTAAGATGAGAAAAAAATACTCAGCAAAAATAACAATAGATAGAGAAGAGCAGTTAGAAGAATACCCAGCAGAAAATAACAATGGACAGAGCAGAGGAGTGATAGAGCAGAGGAGTGAAGAGGAGGTGTTTGCAGGAGCGTTGGGTTTGGCAAGAGAAATCAGACGGTGACTTCACGCGTTGGGCTGAAAATTGGGCTTTTTTATCTTTGGATGGCCAGGCAAACATATTGACTATGACCTGCCTGCTTATCCTCACTTATAGTATAGGAATAGATATGTTTTGTTAGCTTTGCCTATTAATTACATATACATATTTAGTAAAGTTTTTCGATGACGCGGTGTTGGATGACACCACTTAAGCTAAGGTGCATCCGCCCTTGTCACCAAAAATAATTTTTTTTAAAAGCACTTTTTAGAATAAGCTAATTTTTGTTCTTAATACTCCATTCATCTCAAAAATAATGAAAGGATTTAGAGAACGATAGACTAACTTTTTAAATTTTGGGCATCATTGCTAGGAGTGGCAACGGGCGGGTCGGATCGAAAATGGGTAATGAAAAAATGGATAAATTATCCGACTCGACCCATATTTAATAAGGATAAAAAAGGGCTAACCGGCAGATAATATGGGTAACCATATTATCCATGACTTCGTGCATATGATCACTTTTGGTAGAATTCTTAGTCTTCCTAACTTGAGGAACCTCCAATTTGAAGCTTTACAAATGTAAAATTTAGACCCATTGGTTATCTATTTTCTAAATGGATAATATGGTTCTTATCCATATTTGACCCGTTTTTAAAAAGTTCATTATCCAACCCATTTTTTAATGGATAATATGGGTGGTTAACTGTTTTCTTTGAACCATTTTCCCACCCCTAATCATTCCTTAATCTTATTAGTAAATTTACATAATCAAAAAATAGATAAAAGGTACTATAGGTAATAACTTTTCTTACAATTAAAATATTTTAACAATATATGGGAAAGTTACTGAATCAACGGAAAAACTATAATACCCCTACTATCAAATTTACTAATCTCATTAATGATTGTAGGTTCTTGCTCCGGCAGCTGGATGAGCCAAAGTTACAAAGAATCTATCGAGAGCAAAACTGTGTGGCAGACTGTTTGGCTAAGCATGGAGCAGTTAATGTGGAGGCTAGTTGTATACTTTTTTCAAGACCTCCCGCTTTTGTCTTAACTTCCTACCAGCAAGATCAGGCAGGAATGTTGCGTAGAAGACTATGTAAATCAACCTCTATGTTAATTAGTAGTAGTACTAATAGTACTGGTTCTAGTAGTAATTGTGATGTAGTAGCTAATGTTATTAGCTTTAGATGTACTAATCTGATGCATTACATGCATCCATCAAACTCTTATGTACTTGTTTAACTATCTATAATATGGTTATCTTTTCAACCAAAAAAAACTATATAATTTCATAAATAGCAATAATGTCATGTAAAAAGTGGAATGAAGAGAATAGATGCTCGTATGCAATTAAACTTCAACACTTAATTTGAAATGGTTATATTGAGTAATAAAAACACAAAAATTCTAGGGGATTTAATCGTAAAAAATCAAACATGTAAGAACTAAAATGCTCCTTACAAATATAATAACGTGGTTATGGTTATGAATAATTTGTATATATCTTAGTTTGGCCAAGCAACGAGTTTAATATAGTAACTTTAAATCTTGTAGTCTTAAATTAAAGATGTGTGCATAGTACCAAAAATGTCAATTATCTTACGACGAAACTTTAACGTATGAAAATACAAAATGTAACATCGACAAAATACTGCTGGGTGTAACATCATTTCCCCCTATGGAATATTCGTCCTCGAATGTTGACTGATGCACTTATCGGTCTCGTAACTGGATAGCTCTTATGAATGGTTTTAATACTGTCATTGCCATCTAGGCAACTGTTCTGTGAATAAATTCAAAGTCCAAGGCATTCCCACCTTTAGGCCTCTTTCTCACACCATGACTTGTGGTCGGAATTCTCCCAATCTCGTAACTATTGCTACCTTTTATCGTGCAGTATGTACGACTTTGTCCTTGTATGTGCTCTTATGCGACTCTTCTCTCCTTTTTCCTCTAGCCTTTAGCCAATCTCTAGATGTCACTTTGTGAACATATATAGAATTATGACAAGCTGTCCTTCTGGGAATCTATGGATTTACTACATCTAAGTAGGTCATACTTTACCATAACTCTTACTTCAGTTTATTGTTGCTCGGGTCTGCTACCAAACTC